CAAGGCCATCAATGGGCCATCGCCTGGCTTCGATACCTGGCCTTGTCCCCTTTTGGCGTGCAATGCTCGGCCTCGCCAAAGGACGGCCAGGGGATGCCTTGCCGTGCGAGGGAAATGCACTGGTCGCCGGGTTGTTTGTGGTGTAAGTGTTTTCATCAAGGGTTGTGTCGGCTCGTGCATGTCATCCCTGCGCCGGGGTGATGCTGATCTTCTCAGTAACCTTCCCTGTTGTGTCATGTTGAGCTGCAACGTGGAGACTGCATCTTGGAGAACAACTCGAGAACATGACGTCGGTGCGGCATCCAGGTGGGAGTGACATCTGCAGTCTATCTAGAGCATCTCATCTCCATGCTTTGGCACAAAACCTTCCTAGCGAGCATTGACATCTTCTACCTCGCAGGTCGGCCACGAGCACGAGAACGATGTCACAGTATGATTGTCTGATTGCACCCGCCGGAACAGCACAAATCTCTGCGAAACCCTAGTTATGCGAAGTATTTCGCATGGCACCTGCATGTGTTGCGGCGGCAGAAAGGCTGTTTGCTCTCCGGCAAAAGTTGCAGCACCCTTCCCTGGCCACTTGCCGGAGGCCTGGCACGAAGCAAAACGGTCTCTCTTGCGACTTAGCTCGTGTCTGATGCCATACGGGTCCCAAATCGGTTGACACCCACTTTCACTCCGAAGACCAAGCCATGCGAAGCCTTGCCCTTGCCCTTGCCCATCTGCTCGGCGGAACCTGACTGAAGCCGATGTCGTAGAAAGATTCGATTTGCACTTCTCTATGCTTGTCTCTTCCTTCCTTCGATGTCTTCATGTAGCCAACACGAACTTCGTCGAACTTCGAAAACTAAGAATATATCCCCAGCTCAGGCTTTGGCCGCCTTTGGCCTTCGGCAGTGAAGAGCACCGCAGCAAACTCCAAAAACCAAAACTTCTCCATAAGGTCCCGGGGTCCATGTTAGGTTCATCCCACTAGATCGAAAGGGCCAGGTGGCCACGGATCAGGTCTTGAAGGTCTGCTTCAACCTGCGACTGATGTCTCTCTGGTCACTTCGAAGCTCATCCGCGACTTTTGCTATAGAGGTTCATGCCACTAGGCATTGCGCACACAGGGTGCATACGCAGAGAAATGCGCCCTGCCTTGCTTTTGATCAGAATACTCGCTCAACTGATGTTTTCTTGACCCGCGGAAGCTTCCTCCGAAACTGGTCATCATAAAACTCCACTCCATGAAAGAACCCCCCTTCCGTCGAGTGCACAGTCTGAACCGTTCGGCACCCTCAGGTCGGGAGAGCCACCTTTTGCTGTGCCTCCCAGACTTTTCGCAGGCGCTCCGCCTGATGAGAAGAGATCTTCCCGTGGGGCAGCCGCCGCAGGCAAATCTAGACTGCAGGACATCGTTGATACAATTTCGTCACATTGAAATACACTTTACTATACTGTGAAAACGATGATATAGCATGACTTGCCGAAAGCCATGTTAAAAAGCATAGCATAATGTAACCTGAAATAACACAACACAAGATAGCAATAGGTAGTACAAGATGACATAACAGGAAAAGACAACATGACATAATATGTTATGAAACAATGGAATGCCGTATAATCCACTATAACAAATATACCACACTAAAGTAAATTTGGCATAACATAAAGAAATACAAATATATATATATGTGTGTGTGTGTGTGTTTATGTATGTATGTATGTATGTATGTATGTATGTTCATATTCATATTAATACTATTTGTATTTTGCATACTACTAGCTACTATAAGTCTGCGCATAAATAAGAGAAGTAGTATTGAATATAGATATTGGTGTCACTACTGGTTTTTGGCCCCCAAGATCCCACATGGCCGGTGATGCACAGCTCACATCACCTGCCACGTGGGATCTTCGGAAACTGCAAATTATACCAATATTCATATGGATATTAGTCTTGAGTATGATTTTTCATACTAATTTTCCATATTGCTGTACGTCTACTGCAAGACAATGCAGTTTCAACCACCAGAATGATATACAAATGTAGTGTTAATATGATATACCATAATCCTGGTATAGTGTATTACTAATACTAATTTGCAACAGTGTTGTCAATATCAATCTTTATAAATATATATTATATATATATATGCATATTTATATATATATATATGCATATATAATATTTGTTTATTTTTGTCCAGTGACGTCAATATGCAAATTATGTAACTACTGTTGACAATAGTACTAGCATTATCATGATTATTAACTGAATACTAAGATCATATAAAACAAAACAGAAACACCTTATAACATGAGACAACATGTCAATAACACTTAGTATGGATGACATGGCATAACACAGGCACACACAAACCAATGGATTGGACCCGGATTGGACAGTCAAAAGGCTCATATAACCTAACGACACATGTTAACTATTACACCATCATACACCACACAATACTATCAGGCCGGGCAATGCCATACGACAGAACGTATGCAAGGTTGCAAGATATGTTGCATAGTACACAGCAGCCTGATATGTTTTATTGCTGTGTTCTAGCCTGCTATACTGGGCTAGACCAGTGCTGGGTTAGGTTAGATTAGACGTCAGTAGGTCAGATCGTACTTTTGTAAATGTCGTATAGTGTCTGGTGTGATTTCAATTACTTTACACTAAGCACTATCAGATCATATCATAATACACCAAGCTTGTTCCAGATCATGTTGTATTATGCTTTAGGCTGCTAGCTTTTCTGCTCTAGCATACGGAGACGTGTTCTACTCTACCTCATTATAGAATACAATATCGCGGACAGAACCTGACATTACATCACAGACTTGACTGCCGAATCTAGCGTCAGCCTAATGAAACATAGCAGGCAACAGTGCAGTAACAGACAACAGGTTGCCTTAGTGTTAAGCTATAATGTGCTGTGTTGCACCGGGTTTGTAGAAGCTGCTTGATATTGAACTAATTCAGTGCCGATGATACTACGATATATAATTATATAATGATTATATTATGTGATGTCTACCTGCAACCCTGCCCAATTCCGCTGTTCTACTCAACAAGTCTAGCCGTAACTGTCAACCTCGCCCGGCCATCGCCTGCGACTCCAACTCCGGTGCACCTCGTGAGGACAGCTGACACAGGACTCAGGACCTTCTAGCTCTCGGTGCAGCTTTCAAGAGTAGCAGAAGCACGGGATGGCCCTACCCTCCTACAGGACTCCTACACATTGTCGGAGCCCTTGCAGCCCACAAGCTTTCAAGCTTCCCAAGGCGCTCGGCAGCTCGGGAACCTTTGGGATGCCCTGCCTTGGATCACTTAGCAATTGAGGCGCGTTGTCTTCCAGGGACGATTAGTTTCACTCTGTATGCCGGCGCTTGACACTGGCGTTCTGTCTTGCTCGGATGCTACAACCCGGCTCCATTATGTGGCATGCCTGCAGCAGTGCACCTATCTGTTTGTCGATGCCTCGGATTTAAGCAAGAGGTTCGCAGCTTCGAGACCAGCCGAGCCGGGCGGCGCCAAAGCCGCCTGGATCTGCTCCGCTTGCTTTGCTAGCTTTTGCAGCCTCGGTTTGCAAGAGACTCAAGAGAGACTCTGAGACGTCCAAGCCTGAGAAACTCCTCTGGCCGAAATGACTCCTCACATGCCTGGATGAGGTCGAACAAGGATGGCGATGTACGAGTCTCCGCTCGCGCCTACAAGTCTTTATCAAAACCAAGCACTTTCAGATGGTGAATAAGCAAGTGCCATCAAGCCGCTCTTCCGCCCGCTGCTCCTTTTCAGCCCGCCGCATTGCGGCCAGCTGTGCCAGCTGCGCAGCTGCATCTGTGGAAAGGGCAGAACTTCGGCTCCGTGCGCTTGGCCCTACTCCCAAGCCCGTGAACTCAACTTCTGGTTCGCTCGAATCTGGAGCCTGCTGGAAGGCCTGCTTCTTCAACCGCAGCTCTGACCTGGATCATCAGGATTCACGGCTCAGGCTAAAGGGGATTGTGGAGTCTATAACGACAGGTGTGACGACTGCTTACTGTTTCAAGGAGCTGCCTCGCATTCTCAGTCTACTGACCCAAGATCGAGCCCAAAATCTGAATCAACTCTGCCGGTGGCACGCACCATCCTGAAAACCGAAGCATGCAACCTCCGAAGCTGAGGTCTATGGCAAGATTTTGACCTGGAGTGCCTTTAGTCCAGGAAGCCTCATCAGAATGTCCGTCGTAAACGGGTGGCAAACTCGTCCGCCGCACTCCTTGCGGAATGCGTGCACTATCAGTCTTCGGGAAGGGGCTTTTGCTGAAGATGAAGTGTGTGGGCCTTCTCCGTGAAAAAATTCCCTTCAAGCGACGCTTATGAGCTACAATGAGACTTGCTACACGAGGCCATGCTGAAGCGTTTAGTGCTTCGATCATCGTCGATCTGTCGATGCCTCTTGGATACCCGACACTGCAACTCGAACTCCATCATGGTTTCTTAAGCAGGGTCGGGTTGCACGACGAAGACCATCTGCAACATGCGTGTGCAGTGTTCCAGATGCTCGAAGCCTTCGAAGTGACGCACGTGTACTTTCACATCAGCGTGTGAAGCCGCCACTCACGATGGAGACCACTGAAACTATATGAGTGCAGTGGCAGCTCTTCGGCTAGTATGCTGTCGACGAGGCATCCTTACTGCCATCGCGTCCTGCTTCGGCAGCGCTGGGTGGCCTAGGCTGAGATCTCTTTGCAAACGCAAAAGATTAAAAGAAAACGAGAGAGACAGAGAGAGAGAGAGAGAGAGAGAGAGAGAAAGAGAGAGAAAGAGAGAGAAAGAGAAAGAGCGAGTGAGTCTCTCCGTTTGTGTGTGAGTGCGTGTCTCTCCGTTCGCGTCCATGTGTGTGCGTGTGTGTGTGCGTATGTGTGTGTGTGTCCGTGCGGAATTACACTGTGTATGTGCCGGCAATGTATACTCTTAAGCATCTGAACTTTGCCATGCAATGCAAAGTCTTTCGTCGACAAGGCTCAGTCGACCGGCAGCAACGGCTTTTGCCAGCAGCTTCTCTCGTACTTCCTCAGAAGGGCAAGGAAAAAGGACTGCCACCAGGACCTGACGAACAAGGTTGCGCTGCGCACTCAGGGCCAGAAAGGCATGAGCGGTTTCTGCCACCGCCTCGGAACCCTAAGGTTTGTTTACAAATCAGAAGTGTGCCCATTTGATGATTTCGGATTCCAGCTCCGTCTTCTCAAGATGGCAGGCTAGTTCAAGCTCGTCCATTGAATCCAAGTCAATTCAGCATGCCGCTGGTCCAGCCAAGGCGTCATCCACATTTGTGGATCGAAGTGCTGCCTGCCCCGATCCGACACTCATGACAGCAGGCTGGGTGGTCGGTCATTACGCATATGAATCCCTACGCTATCTTAAACACTGCCTGCGTTCGCCCTGAAAAATGCAAAACCTTTGGGATATGCCCTAAACCCTTTTCCACAGGCTTCAACTGAGCTCGCCCGGCCAAGTCCCTCGCAGCACATCGCACTCATGGCGAGATGCGAAAAACCCTAAACCCTAAACCCCAACGGCACCGCGGGCGAGTTTCAAGTGACTGAGAGCTTCGAACTAGCGAGGCTTTACCCTCCGACCGGCTGCCTCGCCCGAGCCATGGTCCGGAACCTGCGCTGTTAAAGGAAACTACAGGTGGGGGAGTTTAGGGTATGTAGGCATATAGGGCTTCTATAAGGCTTCGATAAGGTATATAGACCTTCTATAAGGCTCCTGTCACGGTAGCTACCCACCTGAACATGTC